GGCACAGAAGAGCAGGGAAGATGAGACAGAAATTATAAGTGCCACCCTTCAGCACAGTTATATCTTGCTTTAGGCAGACGCCTAACCAACTGAGCCACCCAGGTGCCCCCATAGTAGCATCTTTAATTCATTGTACCTCATGCCTTCTCTTTTTCTCCCTTTTTCCTCATTCCCTCCACAATTTTTTTTTTTTAAGATTTTATTTATTCATTTGAGAGAGACACAGCGAGAGAGGGAACACAAGCAGGGGGAGTGGGAGAGGGAGAAGCAGGCTTTCGGCTGAGCAAAGAGCCCGATGCGGGGCTCAATCCCAGGACCCCGGGATCATGACCTGAGCCTAAGGCAGACGCTTAACGACTGAGCCATCCAGGCGCCCCCTTCCATAATTTTTTTAATCCACTCTGTTCTTTACCTTGCCTTTTATCCTCTCTTGATTGCCCTCTGGGGCCTTGTTTTTCCCTTCCATGCCTTGTTCTATCCTCTGTCCCATCTTCTCTCTCACACATCTACGAGGAGATTCTAGGTCCTCCTTTTATTCTCCATCTTGATCTCATGGCCTGACCTTTGCACTTTTTGTTCCTCTCAATTCCAACACTGACCACACTCCCTATGTTTGGAGATAAAGGAATACCTCACTAATCTGAGTTGAATAATTATTTTTGAAAAGTTTCAGTTTTATTATTTTAAGTACATGGAAAGGAAGTCTGTGGCTCAGGTAAATTTAGGTTTAAGCACTTATAATTTGCAATAGTTGCAATCATTGCTGCTAAGTTTTTAACTGCTCACATACAAACACTGCTGCTAAGGGTTGTTTGTTTTCTCTTGTTTTTCATGTATGGAGGATGCCTTTTCTTTAGGCGGCACTGAGTAATGATTAGTCCCCAAGCTCTGCAGTTGAAGTCTCTGTAATCAAACCCTGGCTCAGGTGGCCGTGGTAACACGGGGCAAGTTATCTAAGCTCTCTAACTTTGGCTTCTTCATCCAGAATATGGGGACAGCAAGCGCCTACCTCATAAAAGTGTTGTAAGAACTAAGTAAGATAGTTCTTGTGAAAGCGTGTGGCACCTAGTGAAAGCTGAATGAATGTGATCTGTTATTATAGATGACACTAGATGGTACAATTTTCTTACATGGTTTTTGTACACACACAAAAAATCTATTTATAAATATAGTGAAAATATTTATGCTACATAATGGAAAGTTCTCCATAATTAATATTCCTGACTAAGCAAATTATTTTTGAAGTTTTTAGAATTCTCATTGCTAATATGCAAAAAATAAGCTCAAAATATGAACTTTGTATTGCAGTTAGCTAAAATCCACCCACAATTCTTTGTAGTTCTACCTGAAAGAGCAGTTATTTTTCTTTTTCTGTCACCTCAGTTCTAATAATCCCCCTCAGTAAATTCCATTAAGTTTTAAATATATAAAGATATAGGGACACCTGGCTCAGTTGGTAGAGCATGCAACTCTTGACCTTAGGGCTGGGAGTTCGAGCCCCACACTGGGTATAGAGATGACTTAAAAATAAAATCTTAAAAAAAATAAAAATATAAAGGGTGAATGACATGGTTGGGAGGCTGTAGAAACTTTAATTTCATCAGCTTGGTGAATGACCTAAAGGAGTCTGCAGATGTTCTGCTCAATGCCCAGAGCTCCCCATTGAAATGTCACCACGAGGTAAACCCTTCCCAACCTCCATGGATTACAAAGCAGGGAAAGGGCATCAACCCCAATGGGGGGAAAGGGGAAGTACTCAGGGCTTCAGGCAAGACCTGTAGAGCCTTGGAAATTCTGGATTGTCTACATAGTGGTACAGTGTGACCAACCGGCCAGGTCTAGATTCTGGAGTCATCATTATATGAAGGCAAAGTTCCTGATGGAAGAGAAAAATCTCTCCAAGAAAATTCTTTATGGAGAAAACAAACAGAAAAGCAAAACAATTAAATTCAATCAACTTGGCCATCAAATGGTCTGGGAGCTCAGAGCTAGGAAATTATTTAGCAAAGTTAGAACTTTGAACCAGTACTTTCGTGGTCACAGTCAAACAGTTTTTTTGAGGCGATTTACTAGACCAGCGAAGGACAAGGGTGAGTAGACTAAGTAAAGGTTTCACAATTTTCCAAAGGAAATCTTCTGCTAAATAATTTTAGCCTTTCTCAACCAGGAAACGAACCATGGAACACAGAAAAGGATTTGTGACTACTTTCTCAACACTCCCAGGGATGGCTTATAACTAGTCCTTTCCGGATGCAAGGAGACTATTTATTTCATACAATGGATACCTTAGGGGGCTTCGTTCTCCCTCAGAATCTTGGGCTAAAAAGGGCTGGAGGCACCACAAGCTAACCAATCCACAGGGTAGAGTTGCAACAAGATACTCTCATTTTTCTAGAACCTGAGGCTAAAAACCACAGTCATCTTTGACCCTTCCCTCACCTTTAGCTGCTGCAGTTGATTTAATCTGTCAACACATCCGGCTTTTAATTTCTGTAAAATTTCTATTTGATAGAAATGTACTCATTTTGATCCAAATATTTAAAATTTACATATTTAAAATCTGAAGTCTAAGGAAGGGAGAATTTGTATTTCTATCAATTAGAATATGTGTTCATTTTGACCAAGAGCTCTTTGATTTATTAGGGCTGTTATTATTGCCTGTTAATAGATCAACTGAGGTTCTATGAATATTTGAGAAGCATACATCACTTTGTCTTTTTCAACAGGTGTTTTTTGTAGAATCCAAAAAAATTCCTAAATAAATTCTTTGTTCTGATAATTATTGCTGTGTAATATACTCCAAAACCTAGTGTTGTAAAGCCACATTCACTTTATTTTGCTCACTATTTTTGTGGCATAGAGATTCAGGAAGGGCTTAGCTGGGTAGTTCTCCCTTGGGGAGTGTCTCATGCTGACGAGGTCAGAGGTCAGCTGGGGGTGCAGTTTTCTGAAGTTTGGAAAGATCCTTAGACTCATTAGACTTTTAGTCCCACCCCTGAGGTAAGACTTCAGGCAAGTCACTTTATTTCTCTGGGGCTCATTTTCGGCACATGATGAAATAAAACCAATAAATCCTTTTGAGCATTCTTTCAGCTCAAAAGTTCTGTGATTCTATGAAATGCAAAAATAATATTTGGATATTAACAGATACAAGTCACTGTGCATAATTCAGATTATTCTACAAACAGAAAATGTTACTAAATGAAGGGAAAACATAGGATTGAGGTAATGAAGTAAAATTTTTTGTTGTGAAAATAGAAACATCTTGAATCAATTTTGCCACTAGAGGTCACTAGTGTATCATCTCAAAGCGAATACATGCAATCAAGTCACCCGCAGTTCCCTAGCTACTTGGCCCCAAAATGGCATTCGTGGTGTCTTTAGGTTTATTCTGAATATCTGCTGACAGTTGTCAGAGGCATATGTTGGGATGAGGTCACATTGGTTGTCACTATAGGTGATGTTTCATGTGTGCCTAATGTTCTGAAAATGTGAAGAGCCCTGACTAGAACCACAAGGAAAATTACTTCTTTGGCTATTCTGGCCTCTCACTGGGATATGATAATGAGCAGTGAGGTGCTTTGACAGAAAGTCAAATGAGCTCTGAGGTGGAAAGACATTGTGGAAATACAGTATCATCCTCTAATGCAGCACAGACACGTCTGCTTTTTATTTTTTATTTTTATTTATTTATTTTTTAAAGATTTTATTTATATATTTGACAGAGAGATAGAAATAGCAAGAGCAGGAGCACAAGCAGGGGGAGTGGGAGAGGGGGAAGCAGACTTCCCTCAGAGCAGGGAGCCCGATGCGGGGCTAGATCCCAGGACCCTCGGGGCTCGATCCCAGGACCCTGGGATCATGACCTGAGCCGAAGGCCCACGCTTAACAACTGAGCCACCCAGGCGCCCCACGTCTGCTTTTTATAAGACAGAAAAAGTGGTAGAACATTTATTCATTCATTCATTCAACCTGTATTTATGGACACACATGTAGGCACCAGGATTGGCAATGGGGTTACATTAATGAAGAGGATCAACTGGTGCCCTCAAGGAATTTAAGGAATCAGGTATAGGAGGTTTTAGATACAGTTAGTTCTTACAGACACCATGCCAGGTAAATTTCCCTCAGCTATTTTTATTTTGTCTTCCCAACAGACCTTTAGGATAAGCCCTATAATTCCCATTCCTATAGATGGCCCCTCGCAGCACAAGAGCCAGTGGCTTTTATGAGGTGATGTTAAGAGCAGACGATACACTTTCACATCAAATCCAAAACTGAACGACAGAGATACTTGCAAGAAATGTTAAAATTCTGAGTTGGGCTGTGGCCAGTGATGCTTGTTAGACAAAAATATTAAAATCTATTTCAACAGAAAAGCCTTTGGAAGGGAGGAACAATGCTCTAAGTGAAATTAATGCCCTGACACATAAAGATCCAGAGAGATCACCTCTGAAGAAACTTCTGTAAGAAGGATGAACTCTAGAGTACATCTGATGGCCATATCAATTTTCTCCCAAAATGAAACCTACATTGTATTTTCTTACAATTTGCTTCCTGTCGTACATAAAGAAACTCAAAACCCACAATTCTTTCATTAAGGATGAGTAACAAGGCATTCTGGGCTCTTTCCATAACTTGAGGACCTATTTCTTCTACAGTTTTAAGAGGACTTGAACTGATTTAAATTAGTTGTCATCAGACTGTAGACCAGACACAGAGGATGTTTCTGAGCAGGGACACAAGCAAAACCATCATCCCTGAGTAGCAAGGCTTTCTCTTGTTTTCTGCCTTCACTAGAAAAGAAGAAAGGGAGCCTGGACAAATCTCTGCTTCAAACTGAGGATGCTTTGATCTGCTTTTGCTGTGATGAGTATCACTACCCTGAAAATTATTCATTTTAACCATTATTTTAAAACAAACTACCAACAGGTTTGTCCTTCCTTCTGATTGTTGCAAAGTATGGTGAAACAGTGAAAAAGAAAGGGTAGGACTCCAAATTAGCTAGAAAATATGACTTGATTTATTTTAAAAACATGCTTGTTACTGTGCCATTGACTTTCCCACTGATGCTTCTTCCATGCTGGCTAGCGTGCTTCTCTTCCACTTCGACTTCGAGGCCTCCCACCATCACTTTACGAGACAGACATCTTGTAGTATTTCCCTAAAATAATTGTGTGAGGAAGGAGGAAGGAAGATGGGAATTTGTCATAGAACTAAAGATTATTCAAGTTAGAGGTGTGCAGGGAGAGGCAGTCCGAATTGAGCCCTGAGCGTCAGGACATGTTCTTGCTGGTAGGCCAAGAGCACAAGGTCTTTACCCAGACCAGTTCTTGGGGTGTGTCTGCAGAGAGCTACTTTAAGGGTTGAGGTAATGCCTCTCCCTGGTTAAAGAGCAAGCTTGCTTCCACTAACTGTAAAAGCAATAGATTCCCTGAGCTCAATGTTCCTCCCTGTACCGTAACCCACTGTGTATGCAGGCACCCATCTGGGCCCCCGGCCTCTCTACTGTGGGACTTGGGAGACATGGAGAACAGAAGCAAACCAGCACGAAGCTCATGCTGCTGGCGAGCTCTGCGTAATAAAGTCCTTGGACTTGGACCAGGCACCTCATGTCTCCTTCCAGCATTCATGAGTACGTAACAGGCTAACTTGTTAGCTTATAAGTAATGTAAAATCTCAGGGGCGCCTGAGTGGCTCAGTTGGCTAAGCATCTGCCTTCGGCTCAGGTCATGATCCCAGAATCCTGGAACTGAGCCCCGCATTTGGCTCCCTTGTCAGTGTGGAGCCTACTTCTCCTTCTCCCTCTGCCCGCCGCTCCCCCTGCTTGTGCGCTCTCTATCTCTCTCTGTCAAATAAATAAATAAATAAAATCTTTAAAAAAAAAACAAAAAAAGGTAATGTAAAGTCCCAGAGTCTGAGAGAGGAGCTCTCCCAAGTTGGTTATTTTTAGTGAAACAGTTACTAGAGGAACAGAAGACTATGAGAACTATGCCTATATACTGGAAGTAAGAAAATCCACTAGCACTTGCATTTTAGGGAATTGCTAGCGACGCATGTTCATTCTCATACAAAACATTAGTTTCACTATTACCCTGACTCCTATGCCCTTCAAAGAATCACTTTGTCCTATTAAAACAGAATCCCCTTTATGCTCCCAGAGCCCAATGATTAGTGTTGATTTTAAAGCAGATTGTTTTATAAAGATTTCGTGGAACAGGCACCCAGCCCAAATGATTGATAATGGTAGATTTCTGTATAGAGAATCACAGAAACCCAAAATAATAAAAACTGGAATGGAGTGGCCCCAAAATAAATCACTCAAGAAAGCTTTCAGAACATGGCAGGCATGTTACCAAGGGCTCGATGGCCAGACACAACCAAACCATCACAGGTTGACTCTTAAATATGGAAACCATCCGTTATCACTCACTGGTAGTGTTATTTGATAAATTCAGTGGTATTTTATGTAATATTAGAGAAGCAGAATGAACTTTATTACAATCCCTCATTTGAGGAAACAGGAGTCTATAGTAAAGTGACTCATCCCCCACAGACTTACGGTTAATTTCAAATTTGGATATTCTACAGTATCTAGCTCATAATGAACATTGAAATAAATTTTTCAATGGTAAATATATGAAGAACTGAATGGATGAATATAGGTTGAGCCAGAACTGGAACATAGCTTTCCTCTTCTTCAAACCAATGCCTGTTGCAAGGCTGATAGATCAGGCTTTCTGAGCCAGTCATTTGCACACCAACATCACACTTTTTGCCACATTAAATTAACCATTTAATTAATATATATTTTTTAAAATTATTTTTAAGTAGGGTCCACACCCAGCATGGAGCCCAATATGGGGCTCGAACTCACAACCCTGAGATCAAGGCCTGAGCTGAGATCAAGAGTCAGATGCTTAAAGACTGAGCCACCCAGTTGCCCCATAAATAACATTATTTTTTAACTTGGCTTTGTTCTAGGCAATGACATCAGCAAGTTGAGGGTTGGTTGTATTATTCATATTTTTTGATTACAATAAAATATGCAATGATTTTTAAAAGCTAATCTTGTACAGCCAGAGATATGAGCACCAATCTTTGAGAAACTGATTAAACATTACTTTGTGTAGAGAAAAATAAGCATCAAGACTGTATAATCATTCCCAATTACTTTCATTTTTGCCATAAAGTTCAAAGCTTGATTCCATGAAGACCCTGAAGTCCTTCTGAATTCTCATTTGAGAAACTCTAAAAATACACTGGTAATTTCTTACTTTTTCTCTATTAAACCAATGAATGAAAATAACTCTCATCAAATTAGCCAACTACTGGTTATCATCAAGAAATTATAATCTTGAGAAAAGTATACATGAACAGCTTAATTTACCAAATAGCAGTATGGTATACTATTTTTTTTAAGATTTTATTTACCAATTTGAGAAAGAGAGAGAGAGAAAGAGACAAGCAGATTCCGTGCTGAACACAGAGCCCAAATAGGGGCTCGATCCCACAACCATGAGATCATGACCTGAGCCAAAATCAAGAGTCGGACGATTAACTGACTGAGCCACCCAGGAACCCCAGTATGGTATCCTATTAAGTTTTGAAATCAATTTTCAACAGGTACAGTATATTCTTTACTCACCAAATTTAGGACAGCACTCATTCTCCAATGAATTCAATAACCTTTCAAGGGAAAAAAATAAGTAAAAAGGAAAATGTGAGTTCTTATTTAGGAATGAGATGAAACATATTTTGCAAATTAATGAGCTTAAAGTATCAGGGAACACACCTGGTTACACTTGAAAGTTATCAAAATGCCTCCGTTTAGCATATCTCACTTTAAAATATCCACAGTATGTTTAGAACTCTCTAATTACTTAAGACAAGTTAGAAGTTTCATGTTCATGATGAGATTATGTCAGTTTGGAACATCAAAATGATCTTGGAAGTTCTCTACTATTTATCATTTCTTCCTCACATGATACATTGCTTTGTAACAATAGTTTTCAATTTGGAGTTCTCCATTCTCTATGAAGAGAATTTTAATTTTATGCTTTTACTTAGATGTTTTATAATATTAACATATGCATATCCCAGATAACAAGTGTTCTTCTTATAATTAAATATTTCTGTGTAATTTCAGTGGTTTCTTTTTGTATGTGTGTTTGCCTTGCTCAGAAGAAGGGAAGTTTTATGGTTATTTTAAAACCATTTTTAATTGAAAAATATAATGCAAATATGGAATACTGTATAAAAATAAATGTATAGCTTAATGAATGTTCACTTCATGACTAGTTTGCTAAAATTTCAACTCCCTTTTTATATCCACTTGGGTGTACTGTTCTTTTTTGTCACATTTTTGTTATTTCAAGGATTTTTCTATATTCAAGGGCAGATCTTAATTATTAGCAACACTGTTTTATCAAATTTGCAACATTCTGTGATTGATGTATTGCTCTCTAACTTTATGGTTATCTTTGGTATGTTACATTTTTTGAGATAGTTCATCTAAAAACTTCCTTTAAAGTCTAAATTATCTTACAAGATATATGCTTCGTCCCAGAATTTTTAAAAAGGTGAATACTCTAATCATATTCTACTTGATGGCAATCATTTTCATGCATCTTTTAAATGGCTTTAGCATCCAAAATAAACCTAGATTTTTTGGTCTGTTTTTAAAAAGATGTATTTAAAGTGTCCTTTTATCTATAGGTTTCTTTCCATTCTTTTTCCCCCAGTGCAATTTATTTTCTTTTTGTTGAAGAAAAGGGCTTCTTTTTTTTGTTTTTGTCTTGTTTATTTTTCCATAGCCAGATTTTGCTAATTTTGTCCACGTGGTAGATTTAATATATTTCTCTCTGCCCTCTGTATTTCCTGTTAAATTGCTACATATTTATGGGCTTGATCAGGTCAGGTTGAAATTTCTTTTCCTTTTTTTTTTTTTTTTTTTTGCAAGACTCTTTCATAGGTGGTGGTACATTCTTCTTCCATCTGGAAATAAATGCTGTCTAATGGGTTCTCTTTGTGATGTTAGTGATGTTTGTGCTCTAGATTAGTGTTTCTCAACAGTCTTTTTCATTACACCCCATCCCCAGAGCCTTTGAGACATTTTTTTCCTCATCACACCCATCTCTTATGAAATTGTCTTTTGTGAAGCTTGGAAAACCATTATTTCTTCAAGTATTTTTCAGAACCATACTCTTTCCTTTCCTTCTGGGACTCTGATGACACAAAATGGTATCTCTTTTATTGTCTTTCATTCCTGAGGTTGGTTGGTTTGTTTTTCCCAACATTTTTCTCCCTGTAGTTTAGACTGAATAATTTCTACTGAGATTTCCTCAAGTTCACCAACTCTTCCCTCTTTCGTCTTCATCCTACCACTGATTCTTTGCAGTTTTATATTTCAGTTATTTTATTTTTCAGTTCTAAGGTTTCCTTTTGGTTCTTATTTATAGCTTCTATAGGGTTGCTTATACTCTCAGTTATAACTTCTGTTTCAGGATTTTTAATGATTGCTTATTCAAGTAGTTTTTAATAGTTGCTTAAAATCTTGTCCAGATAATTTCAACATTTGTGCCATCTTAGTGTTGCTATCTGTTAATTTTTTATACTCATGCGAATTGAGATTTTCATGGTTCTTTATAAGCTGAATAATTGTGGATCCAGTCATAATTATTACATTATGATACCATGGGCCTGGTTTAAGTCCTATGGAGAATGTTAATATTTTTGTTTTAGTAAGAATTTGAATTGGTTAGGTTGAGGCTGCAAGTTCCAACCCACACTTTCTTTGGGCCATGGTTTCAAAGTCATTTCAATTTGGAAAGTCTTTGCAGTGCCTTATTTTCACTTAATTCTAATGATCCTAGTAACAACTCAATAAAGTAGGTTTTATGATACTTAACTTTACAGATAAAAAAGATAGGTTTGAATTCAGCCTAACACAAGCTATACGATATTGGACAAGACGCTCTTTGAGCCTTAATTTCCTCATCTGCAAAATGAGTTTGATAATACCTACATCATTGGATTGTTTGAGGACTGAGTAAAATAATACATGTAGCATATTTAGCATACTTCAAACCCTAAAGAAATCATGGCTAGTCTTCTCATTTAAAAAAAATCAGTTTCACTGAGGAAAAATAACATATAATCAAATACAAACAATTTAAGTTACAGAAGATTACTTTTGACAGTTGTATATACTGTATAACCACCAATAAAAATATTATAGAACATTTCCACTCTAACGGAAAGTGCCCTCATGCCCCTCTGTAGTCAATTCTCTATCTGTCCTCAACCCCAAGCAACCACTGATTCAACTATCACAATAGATAAGTTTTGTCTGCTCTAGGGTTTTATATTAATAAAATCAGACAGTCTGCACATTTTCTGTCTGGCTGTTTTCACTTAGCATAATATACTTCAGATTCATCCATATTGGTTTGTTACTTTTTATTGCTAATATTCCATTATTTTACAGGGATATTTTTTACTATTGATTGAAAAAGTTCTTAGATATTCTGAATTCAAGTCCTTTTTAAGATCATGTATTATGGCTATTTTCCCCAGTCTATAAATTGTCTTTTATTTTCTCAATGGCGTCTTTCAAAGAGCAGAAATTTTTAATTTTTACAAAGTTCAATGAATCATTCTTTTTCTTTTAAAGGTTTGTTTGATTGGGTGTTTTGTTTTGTTTTGTTTTGTAACTGTTCTCAAAAAAATATTTTTTTTCTTTGGCTTCTTCTAGAAGATTATAATTCTAGCTTTTATGTTTCAGTTTATGATCCATTCTGAATTAACATTTTTTGTGTATGCTAATAACGAAGGAGTTGAGGTTCAGTTTCTTTTCTCCATACTGATATCCAGTTGTTCCAGCTTATTGGGAAAAAAAAGCCTATCCTTTCTCTTGGAAATACCTTGGTACCATTGTGAAAATCAATTGACCATATTATGTGTAGGTTTATTCCTAAATTCTATTGTTTCATTTATCTATGTGTCTGTAACAATACTCCATTTATTTCATTGCTTTAGCTTTATAATAAGACTTGAAGTAAGGTAGTATAAGTCCTCTAACTTTGTGGTTCTGTTACAGAATTGTTATTCTGGATCTTTTGTTTTTCCATATGAATTTTATTTTATTTTTTTTATTTTTTTAAAAGATTTTATTTATTTGAGAGAGAGAGAATGAGAGAGAGCGAGTACATGAGAGGGGGGAGGGTTAGAGGAAAAAGCAGGCTCCTAGCTGAGCAGGGAGCCCAATGCGGGACTCGATCCAGGGACTACAGGATCATGACCTGAGCCGAAGGCAGTCGCTTAACCAACTGAGCCACCCAGGCGCCCTCCATAAGAATTTTAGAATTAGCTTTAGGCCATAATCTATGAGAGAAGTGAAATTCATGGGGCCAGAATCACAACTTTCTAGGCTCTCTGTCTAGGGGCAATTGTTGGATTTGATTTCCTAAAAACATGTTAAGGACTTCCGTGTGTATGTTCAGTTTTATGTCTTTTAATGTCTTTGTCTGGTTTTGGAATCAAGGTAACATTGTTCTTATAAAAAAGGTTGAAAAGTATTCTTTCATATTTTATTTTCTCAAAGAGTTTGTGTAGAATTTATATAATTACTTAATTTCCAAATTTTTTACAAATATCTTTGTTATTAATTTCTAGTTTAATTCCCCTGTGCGCAGAGAAAATATTTTATATGATTTCAACTATTTTAAATTTGTTGAGGTTTGTTTCATGATAGTGAATATGTTCCATTTTCTTGAATATTCCATGTACATTTGAAAAGAAGGTATGTTCTAGTTATTGAGTGGAATTTTCTGTATCAATTAGGTCATACTGGTTGATAGGACTGTTAAGGTTTTCTATATCAATAGTTCCCAAATTTGCCTGCACTCTGTTGAAATCACCTTTGAATCTCCTTAATGCCTATATCCCAACCCTAGAGATTGTGATTTAATAAGTATGGGGTGTAGCCTGTTCTTTAGAATTCTTAAGAGATTCCCAGGTGATGCTAATGTGTAAGCCAAGCTTGGAACCTGAGTTCTGTATCCTTACTAATTTTCTGTATATTGCTTTACAAATTACAGAGAGGGGAGAGATGAACTCTCCAAATGCATTGTGGGTTAATTTCTTATTTCAGTTCTATCAGTTTTTGCTTCAGTGCTATTTTATAGCACTATTAGGATTTTGCATCTTCTTAAAGGAACTGACCCCGTTATCTTGTTTTAATATGAATTCCCCTGATTACTAGTGAAGGTGAGCATTTAAAAAAAGATCTTTCTGGTTATTCAGTTTTCCTCTTCTGTGAGTTGCTTATTTGGGTTATATGAATAAGTTTTTATATTAAATTGTTAGAATTCTTTATATTTTCAGAGCTTAACTATATTCTCCCAGTCTGTGGTTTTTCACTTGATTAAAATTATCTTCTCTTCTGTTTTGAAAACTTTTCTCTCTTCTGTTTATAAAACAATCAAAATTTAATCTTTTTGATTAACGAATGGTACTGTTTTGTCTGGTTTAACAACTTCTTCCTTAAGGTGATGTCATAAAGACATCCGTTTTCTAAAAGTTTAGAGGGTTTTTTTCACATTTACTTCATTTGGAATTGAGTTTTATTTGTGGTGGAGGTCAGAATCTAATTTCATTTTTTATATGAATAGCCAATCTAACTAGAACCACCATCATTTGTCTTTTCTATAGCCAATTAACATAGTTATTATACCAGGGCACCTGGGTGGCTCAGTTGGCTAAGTGTCTGACTCTTGATTTCAGCTCAGGTCATGATCTCCGGGTCATGGGATCAAGCGTCCCCACATAGGGCTTGGCACTGGGTGTGGAGCCTGCTTGGGCTTCTCTCTCTTACTTTCTGTATGCCCCTCCTCTCTCTCTTTCTCTTAAAAAAAACAAAAAAAACAAAAAACAAAACAACCACAGAAACAACAAAATTATTGTACCATTTACACTTTCAAGAGTCATGCATAGTTCTTTCCCACAACCTGCCCAACACTTATTTCTTATCAGACACTTTTAGTGTATACCAACTTCCAGGTACAGGTACTCTAATTTCTTTTTGTCTATTCTTGTGTCATCACCACATTTTAAAAAGTTGCTTTTAAAATAGAATTACCATATAATTCAGTAATTCCACTCCTGGATATATACCCAAAAGAATTGACGAGAGGGTCTCAAAGAGATATTTGCACACATCATGTTCATAGTAGCATTCACAATAAGTAAAAGTTGGAAGCAACCCAAGTGTCCATCAGCAGATGAATGAATAAACAAAATGTGGTATATACCTACAATGGAATGTTATTCAGCCTTAAAAAGGAAGGAAATTCTGACACATGCTACAATATGGATGAGCCTTCAGGATGTCATGCTAAGTGAAATAAGTCAGTCACAAAAAGATAAATACTGTAAGAGATTCCACGTACATGAGGTACCTAAAGTCGTCATATTCATAGAGACAGAAAGAATGGCAGTTGCCAGGTGCTGGGGGGAGAGATAAATGGGAAGTTGTTTTTTAATGGGTATACTTTCAGTTTTGCAAGATGAAAAGTGTTATGGAGATTGGTTGCATGACAATGTGAATATACTCAACACTACTGAACTGTACACTTTAAAATAGTTAAGATGATAATTTTTTTGTGTTATGTATATTTTACTCTATTTAAAACTAAAAAGAAAAAAAAGGTGCTCTAACAACAAAAAAAGTTGCTTTTAATAGTTCTTAGTCTTTGGTGTTCTGCAGTTTCATCAGGATATATCCACATATGGAATTCTTTGTTTTAAACCTGCTCAAGAATAAGTGCTTCCTGAATCTGAGCACTCAAATATTCCACAATCCTGAAAAATTCTTAGTTATCATTCTTTGAATACTGCTCACAGCCATTCTCTCTAGTTTCTCTTTTTGACACTCCTATTGGATATACCCTGGGCCTTTCTTTCTTATTTTCCATTTATTTAGGTCCTGTGTTGCATTCTAGTACATTTTCTCAAATTATGTATCATAGTCCAGCCAAACGTATACTTCTCAAATACTGAATGGAAGATTTTTTATATATTCCTTAAAAAGATTAAGGCGGTATGTCAGCAAACTGAACCAGAAGTGAAAAGTCAAGAAACAGACAGACATAGGCTCACCTCTACAACTCAGGAGAATGTGCCGAAGCCAAAACAATACAGTATTACTACCTTGTACTCAACAAATATTAAACACAAGCAGGATGCCGCTTTGTGTCAAGCGCTAGATATCAATGAACGCTATCAAGCCAGATTACATTACATGCCAAAGCCTGGCCGCAGCATTTCACACTGCATGTATGACCTTGAGCAAGGCATTTATTCTTAAGCTTCAGTTTTTTTCTGTGGGTTGCTGTGAGAATCAAAATGAGGTAAGGTGAGCGAAAGCTCTATATTAAGGTATTTTCTCAATTCTAAAATATTCTTAAATGGTCAAGTGCACTGTGGATGTAATAATCGTTTGGAAAGGATGTGGAGATGAACAATCCACTAGGGGTGTACTTAATGAACTTTCCGATTTGGGAAGTTAAAAAATATGGAAAAGTCTGCTTTTAGAATTGAGGTACCTCGGTATTGTACTGGCTTTATCCATTATGTCCACAAATGCCCTTTTCTTAAATTTGAATGATTTCTCTCTCCCCCAGTATTTGATTTTACCAACCTCCTTCCTGACAGCTGTCAAAATTTTCCATACTGGCTTTCTGATCCCAATTTTCTGGCTCCTGCTGAGACTGAAGAGCCGCTTTCTTTGGACTGGTTTTCTCACGCTTAACTTCGCTTCTGTACTGTCATTGGCTGTTGCTTTTACCGGACCCGCCTACAACAGCCTCAATCCTGATTGGATGCCAACGTCCTTTTTGTTAGGGCAAAAGGTGGATCCTCGGGCTTTGACAAAGGACGATTGGGGCGTCGTACTGCTAATGCGCAGGCGTACCTTCTTGAGTGGGGATTGGTGGGCGACGGGGCGGGACGGGGCGGGACGGGGCGGGACTCCCGACACGGCGCACGCTCTGTGGGCGCAGAGGGCGGGGCTGCCGGTACCAGTTGGTCCAAGTGTTGGGGCCTGAGGCGTCTTCCCGATCCCTCCTACTCCCAGAGCCTTCAACATCAGGTGAGGACAGTCGTGGGCAGCGGAGGGCCTGGCCCCGGGCGACTGGAGTTGCGACCTCGGTACAGCCGAGGAACTGGAGGGCGGGGAGGGCTGGACGCGGCCCGGGGCACCAGGCGCCCGGGAAGAGCGGCCTGGGCATTTGGTGGGCGCCTCAGGCCTGACTCCGTGAAGAATCTCTGCGCAACCTCCTCATCTCATTATTGGGCCCAGTTGTTCTTTGGGGGAGGGGTTGCTCCCGTCCCTGAGGCGGACCTCCCGCCGCCTTCTCCCGCCTCTTAGTCGAAGGCCGCTGTCCAGCCTCCCGCCCTGAATTGGGACTGCAAAGGGGCGTTTGGGCGGGATGGACCTGGCACGCCTGCACTTGTCCGTGGTTGCTCTGCCGAGAGCCCGGGAGGTGGCAGGAGAGGACGCCAAGGCGGGGAGGGTGGCGAGCGAGCGGTAAAATAAGGGCTGGCGACAGCTTTCCTGGCACCGAAAGGAGCTCCCGGGTTAGTTTCTACTTGGGCTTCCCTCAAGGATCCTGCCGAGCAAGTTTTGGGGAGTTAGGACCGAAAAGGAGAAAGAAGATGCCTTTCGAAAGGCAGGACTTTTGTTATACAATATATCGATTCCACTACTATGACGTAGCAATGTTAAGGACCTGCTCTGCTATGTCCCCAGCACTGTATGTCTGTACCTGAGGATCCAAAGCTATGCCTATATATTCTGTGCCTGTACTCATTGATTAAATTCACTATAGCTAGCCATTCTCTGGGGATCTAGCTTCCGTTCCAATCCTCATTTGGCCAATCCCTTAATCTTGTGGAATCTTGAAACTGGATTTGTCTGACCAGAACAATTCAAAACTTGAACAGACAAACCATTTTGAAAGTTGATGCAGCTTGAATGGAATGAAATTTATCTTCAGTTGCTTCGTAAAATATCAAAGGAATGTAACATCAAAGATTGCAAAATATTTGGCAAATATAGATTAGGGCTGTATTTCCATTATACAATGGAAAAAACAGGGACTTTATAGTTAGACCTGCTTTCAACATCTTGGTACAAACGTTGGCTGTGAAGTCTAAGGCAGATACGTAGCCTTTCTGAGGTATAGTACCCACAAATATAAATCACAATGCCCTTCTGTTGATTTGATGAACTAATAATATATGTAAAGCATTTAGTATATTAATGAGCAATGACATTATTTTAGTAGTCTTACTTGTTCACTAGTAAGCGGATGACATGAAAATCAGTTTTAGATGCTGAGAAGTTGGGTGGTTGAAGTTGGATGGATATCAGGAAAAAGTCTCAAAAATCTTAGGTCTCAGAGCATACCTGTGGTGGTGTGATGGAAAAAACTAGCCTAGTAGTGATTTGGGGTAAGCCGTTATTATCTTTGGCCTCGGTTTATTTGTAAAATGAGGCAGCTAGACCAGATGATTTTACCAAAATTTCTTTTTGTGGCCTGAATTAGAGCCAAAAGGTAGAGGAGATAATAGCTAACATTATTGAATACCTTCTATGTATGAGATACCATTGCAAGTTATATATATCAACTCATTCTTACAACAAAAATATGAGGTACATACTCTTACCCTCGTTTTACAGATGAGGAAACTGAGGCTGAGATGTTAACCTTGCTCAAGTTTCCAGAGCTTATAAGTAGCAGAGCTAGGATTTAAATCCAGGTAATATAAATTTATGTCCTTTATCACTGTGCTAAACTGCTTCTTAACAGTGGTACTGTTCAGGGTACTATAAGAGAAGGTAGAGGTCTCCTTTGGTAAAACAGTAGTCTTTGATCACAGGTATGTGGGCATGGAAAAATGGGTCCATCCTAATGATTGTCACACTTTCTGACTCTTGTTCTCTCTGTACTTTTTGCTTCCTGGACTTAAATTACCAAAATAATTCTAGATTCTCTTCTACCAACCAAGGCTAGATGAAAATAGGCCCAGAACGTACTGTGATTTTTGATAAAAGCTTTTCAGATTCAGCCCAGGCTTAGGTCAGAGTTGACAGATCTGGGAGAACAATATCCATTTCGGAATGAAGGCAGCTTTAGGATAAACAGATCAGCCTTAGAACCCCACTCTCCTTTCAATGTCCTCATGCTTGAGATACTTTGGTCTGGATTTTCTTTTCACATCGGCTTTGCATTTTTGTACAGGAACAGAAGGAATTGAAAATGAACTCTTTTTTTTCTCTTTCTTTTCTTTTCTTTCTTTCTTTCTTTTTTTTTTAAAATTTTTTATTAAGTTGGCTCCACGCCCAGTGTGGAGCCCAGTGCGGAGCCCAATGCGGGGTTTGAAATCAGGACCCTGAGATCAAGAGTAGGATGCTTAACCAACTGAGCCATCCAGGCACCCCAAAAATGAACTCTTAAAAGCACATTTCACATGAAATTGGATTGATGTGATAGCAACTATAGACTGAGAAAAAGACTGAGTTTTATAGTTGAAAAACGCAGTCTGGTATTAAGTGCATATTATGACATAGTACCTGTGCTAATGTAGACATTGTGAGGTTTGAGGATTGATCCTATTTTGAAAGAAAATCTGTGGCTAGAATACTTTGATATAAAGAGCTCAATGAGGGGCGCCTGGGTGGCTCAGCCATTAAGTGTCTGCCTTCGGCTCAGGTCATGATCCCAGGGTCTTGGGATTGAGCCCCGCATCGGGCTTGCTGCTCGGCAGGAAGCCTGCTTCTCCCTCTCCCACTCCCCCTGCTTGTGTTCCCTCTCTGTCAAATAAATAAAATATTAAAAAAAAAAA